CTCGGTATTCTTTGTTTGCTCGAGGTTCTTTGTTTCCGAGGCATCTTCTGCTTTGTTGGTGTTGGGTCCTATCTCGGTATTCTTTGTTTGCTCGAGGTTCTTTTTTTCCGAGGCATCTTCTGCTTTGTTGGAGTTGGTTTGTATCTCGGTATTCTTTGTTTGCTCGAGGTTCTTTGTTTCCGAGGCATCTTCTGCTTTGTTGGTGTTGGGTCCTATCTCGGTATTCTTTGGTTGCTCGAGGTTCTTTGTTTCCGAGGCATCTTCTGCTTTGTTGGAGTTGGTTTGTATCTCGGTATTCTTTGGTTGCTCGAGGTTCTTTTTTTCCGAGGCATCTTCTGCTTTGTTGGAGTTGGTTTCTCTCTTGGTATTCTTTGTTTGCTCGAGGTTCTTTGTTTCCGAGGCATCTTTTGTTTTGTTGAAGTTGGTTTGCATCTCGGTATTCTTTGTTTGCTCGAGGTTCTTTTTTTCCGAGGCATCTTCTGTTTTTTTGGAGTTGGGTCCTATCTCGGTATTCTTTGTTTGCTTGGCGTTCTTTGTTTCCGAGGCATCTTTTGTTTTGTTGAAGTTGGTTTGTATCTCGGTATTCTTTGTTTGCTCGAGGTTCTTTGTTTCCGAGGCATCTTTTGTTTTGTTGAAGTTGGTTTGTATCTCGGTATTCTTTGGTTGCTCGAGGTTCTTTGTTTCCGAGGCATCTTCTGTTTTGCTGAAGTTGGGTCCTATCTCGGTATTCTTTGTTTGCTCGAGGTTCTTTTTTTCCGAGGCATCTTCTGTTTTTTTGGAGTTGGTTTCTCTCTTGGTATTCTTTGTTTGCTTGGCGTTCTTTGTTTCCGAGGCATCTTTTGTTTTGTTGAAGTTGGTTTGTATCTCGGTATTCTTTGGTTGCTCGAGGTTCTTTGTTTCCGAGGCATCCTTTGTTTTTTTGGAGTTGGGTCCTATCTCGGTATTCTTTGTTTGCTCGAGGTTCTTTGTTTCCGAGGCATCTTTTGTTTTGTTGGAGTTGGTTTGTATCTCGGTATTCTTTGTTTGCTCGAGGTTCTTTGTTTCCGAGGCATCTTTTGTTTTTTTGGAGTTGGTTTCTATCTTGGTATTCTTTGTTTGCTTGGTGTCCCTTTTATCCGAGATATCTTTTACTTGTTCGGAGTGGTTTGTTCCCGGGGGATTACCTTCTGCGTGGGCTTTTGGTTTTTCGACTTGGGAGCCATCTTTTGTTGCGATGAAAGTTTGTTCTCTCTCTTCCGGCTGTACATTGCGATTTACAACCTTTTTTATCCCCAAAAAGTGAACGGGCGCGAACTTCGCAACAGCAGCAGCAAGAAGAATCACACCCAGCAACAGAAAGGCCCGACGCCGATGCCACAAAGCGTTCCATATCGCTTTAGAGTCAGTGGTTCTTGTGCTATCATCTATGAGATAGTCTTCAACAGGTAATTCATCATGCCAGGCGGTTATTTCCTCCAGGGTGCCATCAATGGCGGACGCGTCGCTGATTTCAGTCACAGTTTCAGTTTCTGCCATCGTTTCTTTGAGTATGCTTTCAACAAAGCAAAGTTATTGTATATTCAAGATGCGTAAAACCGCAAAAGCTGCTAAAACGCAGCCAGCGGGGAATGCTACTAGATGGCAGCGTGCTCGTGGCGTTTCCGGAAGGAGCAAGCAGCGTTAAAAAAATGAGTCGTGCAAAACTCCGAAAAGCAAAAAAGCAACCTGTTCAGCGAAACTGTCGTGCCAATCGCACCTGCAATAGGTAGAATATACGGTTTGACGGGCACTTGTCCACGCTCACTTGGCTGCATACGAACTTCGAACCAGCAAGTGGTGAATAGCGACGTGGGGGAAGGTCTGCAAAAGCGATGTGGATCCGTCATCTTACATAACGCAGCGTCTGCCACCACAAGCACTCCTCTTAATTTAAAGTGTTGTACGCCGTCTGGCCAATACCACAAATTTCAGGCAGCCTGGACAATCATTTGAGCCAGCAGTACGAATTTTACGGGTTTGAGGCCAGCATTTCCCTGCAGGCACACCCGGATCGCAGTGCAGCCCACAAGCATCTATGCAACAGCTTCACACTTTTAATTCATTAAAACACTCCTTTTCATAAAGTGAAGCAACAGATGTTGTATATTTTTTCATATTCGCCAATCACAGTCACAGTGCAGCGGTATATGCTACATACAGTGGAGTAAACTATGACACTAGCACGAATCAAGATTCAGCTATAATTGACTATGGTTTGGCTCATGTAATGCTCAGCTTTCTGCCCAGCGTGGCCACTGAATGTACACCTCATTTTTGTGTAACGCTCCACTTGGTGGACCAGACCACTTAAGGATTTTCTAGTGGACTGACTTCGCTCAGGTCTCACGAGTAAATTGACATGCTAAATTATTCTTCCTTTATTCGCTTGGGCTTGAAGTAGGGTAAGTTCACACTATTAAGAGTTACAGCAGCTGTGTTTGAAGGCTTGCAGCTGCTGCATGCAGCTGCGCGTGAGTTCGCGCAGAGCTCAAACGGTACCCTAACGGGCATTCCAGCTCTCTTCTCTTCATGATGCCAGAATTCCCTTAAACGAGATTATGAGAGGAAAGCCTTATTGGTACACTAAAACTTCCACCAACTTTTGGCGTGAGTTCCGTTCGGAGGCTCTACAAGGGGCGCTACTTTTGAAAAACCGTACAGTTTCATGAAGCAACCACTCTCGCTCAGCCACTATAATGCTCCAAAAGGTTTCCTTATCTCCTAACCCTTGTTCCTCAAGGTCCAATAATGAGAAAAACTTACTGGGTGCACCCTACTGCATCCTCTAAACATGCCCAGCTACGCCGGGAGTGGGTGCACGTGTCCTAGGATCCCCGAATAGAATCTCACTCTGCCTACGTCTCTCAAAAAAAATTTGAAAATCTGAGCTTTGCAAAACAACCAATCCTTCCCTCTCAATTTTGGGGTTTAAGGTAATTGCTTCCCCAAAAGATACAACAGATTATTCTCAGTCCTCCACCCGTCGATGCTTCAGGACTGACTGGGCCCTCCGCTACGCTGCTGCGTGCCACAGAATGAGAATGTCTCGTGGGCATAGAGGATGCAGCCACCTGCTCGCCTGTTGGTCTATGCCCCTCGTACTGGAACGTCGTCGGGCAGGGGCATATACACACGAAAGGGTTTTGAAGAAGCAATTGACGTGGCCCTTTCAAGGCTGCCGTAGAGCTTTTGTGTGAGCACCCTATCGGGCCGACCCTAGACGGAATGTCACACCGAAGAAACGTTTTGTGTGGCCGCTAAAATCTGCAGGAATTCAAGTCCTACGATCAGCATGCAGAACTTTTAGCTAAATTTCACATATTCAGGTGTGAGTGCCTGGGTGAAGCCTTCTCAGCTATAACACACAGCTCCATGACTCACTGAATATTTTAGTAGTGCTAAGTGACGATGGTGCGTGATCAGGCCAACATTAGCAAGGCATATTTGCTGTTGCGTTGACGCAGTGCATGTAGTTTGGAGCAAGCCAGCATCCATTCCTGCCTTGCCTAGGGACAGCACCATCAGAAGCAGACTCGCAATAAGTATTATTAGTTGGAGCAGCACGTACAGCAGTAGCATGACAACTGGAGCTGCGGTAGAAAACGGCACACAGAGAGCAGACACAGTGCTCTAAGGCAAGGCGCGTTCAGCCTGCTGTTTTCGAATATCAGTACAGATTTTCAAGTGCGCAACGGAGAGAAAATGAACTGCCCTGCTGCTGCTATATGCCACAGTAGCTGGCTGAATAAGGGCCTGCCTATGCCCATCGCGATGCTGCTCTAGTCGCACGGCTGATGCACTGCTCTTAGCTGTTACCACTTGGACAGCAGAGTTTTGCCGATATTTGAAAGGCACTGTCTCGTGGATCTAAAGAAAGTGCATGCACCAAAGGTTGACATCTGCTGCACTAAACGGCAGACCACTAGACAGTGCGCTCTTTATTATAGCACCAGGGGGCCGTGTATCTGCAGCACTGCTGCTGCCGTTTTCCCTGCCAACTGTGCAGAATCATACGCACTAAGAAGGGATGGGACGGTAAAACAATCGGTGGTTGTCAGTAGGGCAGCTTGTGCTGCGACTTAACTCGAAGTATTTTCGACGCGTGTAGTGTAGGTGCCAAAGCAAAACTTTTTTGCAGCTGTTGCTGGATCTGAGTCTACTTTCAGAAGTGAATGGAATCGTGAGACTAATTGTAGAGAGAGGACGAGATCCATGCATCTTGATACGGAGTTGCTGCTGTTTCTACGTTATAGTGCGCGCCAGGCAGCCAATCTGCATACAGAGTATACCGGCTACTGCAACAGTTTGCTTAGGTTTAAAATCGCACGCCCATGCATCACTGACTATACAAGCGCTGCCACAGATACTTGTACTCTATGCAGGTCGCATAAAATACACCTGCGTTCATGTATTAAACGCTTGCAACTATACTTACGCAGAAAGCTGCACATGCGCGCATGAACAAAGAGCGATTGCAATTAAGCCGTCATGCAGTAGCAAACAGACCACAAAGCAGGCATAGGAGAAAGCAACTCCACAAAAGAAGCAAAGTACTTTTTGTAGGGCCATAGTAGAGCGAGGAAACCAGTTGACGCCATGACTCAAGCCGTCCTCCCCGTAGGGCCTTCTCAGTCCAGTCATCTGTTCGAACTTTCTGATTTTGAGAGCGTTTATCAATTTTAGGCATATCTACTCAACGATGTTTGCGACAAGGGTTCTCGTGCAGACTGATGCCTCGCCCTAGACGCTCGTGCAGAAGCTCAATCCACTCGTGTGTAGAACGTCAAATGCGCCACACCACGTAACCAAACAGTATTGCAGCTGGTAGAACTTTCACTATTTTTCCCATCGTTGCTGCTACTGATACGGGCACTAGCGCTAGGGGTACTGCCTATTCTCCGTGCTTCATCGATGTTCTGCGGAGGAATAGCGAAGGTCCTAATGCGCCAACAAGAAAAGAGACACTCTCCTAAAGGCTCGTTTTAAAGTCCAGGTAGTACTGGCAGCAAGGGGGGTGCAGGAAGTGCGAGAGAGATCCCACTGGAATTTCCAGGCGTTCCCCCGCATGTGTCCAGTTGGTGTTGCTGCTTTTGGTTCTCGGACTCATCGGCTGCCAGCCGCGATGGATCGAGGGAGACAGACTTGGTGGCATCGAAGGTCTTGTAGATCCCGACCTGGAGACAAAAAGCCTCATATATGTGCCCATATATGATGTATGCTATGTACGATATACAATACATGGCACACATATATGATATATACTATGTATAATACACATACATGGCAGTCTGACAGGCAAATACATGGCACACATACATAATATATACTATGTATAATACACATACATGGCAGTCTGACAGGCAAATACATGGCATACATATATGATATATACTATGTATAATACACATACATGGCAGTCTGACAGGCAAATACATGGCATACATATATGATAGATACTATGTATAATACACATACATGGCAGTCTGACAGGCAAATACATGGCATACATATATGATATATACTCTGTATAATACACATACATGGCAGTCTGACAGGCAAATACATGGCACACATATATGATATGTACTATGTATAATACATATACATGGCAGTCTGACAGGCAAATACATGGCATACATATACAATATATGCTATGTATAATACATATACATGGCAGTCTGACAGGCAAGGAGAAATTTGCCTCAGAAAAGTCCTCGGTTGCGCGCATTTAGGCCCTATGAGGCCATATAGCAGGCGGCAACTACCATGATTAGGATTTAAGAGCGGCTACGAACAGCAGTGGGAGCAACATTGTAATAGGGGGTCGCCAGCAACACCACCAACAAAAACTCGAGATCACGATCATCATGCACAGCAGCAACAGCGAAAGCTGACAAGTCTGTTGGCGAGCTCGAAAAGCTGGTTCCTCAAGGATATAATAATGAATTGCGCGTCCCTCGCCTTCTGCAGGACAAAGGCTCCCAAAATTGCGACGTTGCGGTGATCCAGAGCGGCGTCAATTTCATCAAGAAAGTAAACGCAGGTCGGCTTGTAGTGGTGGAGTGCAAACACCAGAGAGAGTGAAGACAGCGTACGCTCCCCCCCTGTGCACAAAAACATGGCGCACAAGACAAGGCCCGAGCCATACTTTCCCGATGAAGGCGGGGAAGTCGAAGATGGATGCTCCGGGGAAGGACGAAGCAAAGTGTAAGGGCTCGCGTGGAGTCGTCTGCAAACGAAAAAGGGGCTTTGTAACGACTATGGGCTCTTAGCGTGGATGAGCCATGGGGGAGTGAGTGGAGTAAAGGGCAGCAGGCTAGCCTGAGAGGTTTTGAATTTGCCGCCAACTCTTTTTCGGGGGCCGAATAGAAAGGATCACGCCCTCAGCAAAAGGATCGGCTGGATCGCCAAGCTCTAATTCGGCATCTCCTCCCTGACTTAGCATCTACGAGCGTCATAGTCAACAGGCGCAGAGAGATGCAAGCCGCACATTGCAAGCAGAAAAAGGCCTCAGGGAGCATGTATATATATATATGTATATGTATGCACGATAAAACAAGGTGTGACAACGCACTGATCAAGGAAGCAGGACGAGGACGCCTGTGAGGCTGCCTCTGATTCAGGAGGCAGTAGTTGCCTAAACGACCCTTCCATGGAACGAAGCTTTGCAGAGAGGTCTTCGGATATGCAAGTTGTGCAGCCAAACACCGTTAGAGGCTCCCGTTCAGACGTGTGTATTCTCCTCACCCTGTATGTTTCCTTCAGCTTCGCGGCAATTACAGCGAAGGCCGCTACAAATTCTGCCTTCCTTCGGCCCCTCAAGGCTTCCAGGTGAGTCTTCGCATCTTCACGCAGAGTCGCTGCCTCCCTAACTTCTGCCTCTTTACTTCGAAGCTCCCTCCGCTTCTGTGCATAGAGTTGCAGCGCGTGCAGAGACCCCTGCTGCTTCTGCTGTTGCTGTTGCTGCAGCGCTGCAACGTCCTCTGAGGTGTACCTGGACAGGGATTTCTCGCATATATCTAATGATAGCCGCTGCAGCATCGCCGTTTGCTCTTCAGATAGTTCTTCCTCTACATCCTCCTTCCCTGATTCGTGCTCATCCTGCTGTTTCTGCGTCGAAGCCTCCTCGTTCTCCATGGTTTCTTCCAAAGAGCCGGCCGTCAGCGCTAGGGTTTGCTGCTGCTGCTCCTGCTGCTGCTGCTGCTGCTGCTGCTGCTGCTGTTGTGCTTCCTTGGCTTCCTCCTCTTCTGCTCGAATCGAGGCATCAAGTTCCACTAGGCGCTGCAGGGCACCCGTAAATTGCTGCTGCTGCTGCTGCGCGCGCTGCTGCAGCTGCTGCAGCTGCTGCTGCAACGCTTCTTGCGCATGCTGCGTCTCCAGCTGCAGCAGCACACGACGATAGAGGCAGCAACAGCAACGGCGACAAGTCGCATCCGCCTCTTGAGGGGAGGAACAAGCAGTAGAACTCAAACGCAGCAATTACTCTTCACGCAATACACAGAGAACAAGGAGCGCTGGGGTGCACACGCATATTACACACCAAAAGGACTGCAGCAAGCCAAGCGACTGCATGTAAAAGGTCTGGAGTCGTCATATGCTTCTGCCATGCAGGCATGAAGTGCAGCTGACATAGAGGGGAACCCAAGCCCTATAGCTTCAGCCTCGATTGCCATGCTCGAGATCCAGACGTGCAAGAACGTCTCACCGATGCGAGGCTGCTGGTTTTCAGCGCCTCCTCAGCTTGCTGCTGCTGCCGCTGCTGCGTCTGCAACTGCCGCTGGAGCGTCTGCCTTGTTTGCGCTGTCTCCTCTTGCTTCTCGATTACGTCCTTGGCCTCGTTCTCTAAAGCAGCGAGAGCCTCTTGCAAGCCTTCGGTCCGCTTCTGAAGGAAACACGCCATGCGATCAGTTTGGTAGAGTCAAAGCGGCTTGTTGCCTCGCCGTTTGTCTACTCGGAAGGCAGGTATGCTGCTCGTTTTTTCACGCAGTTATCAGACACCCACAGCGCCAACGACTTGCAGCACGCACCTCATGCGTCAGAATCTCTCGCTTAAGCCTGTTGGCGTCTCTGGCAGTGCGGAGGGCCTCTGCGCGTTTCGCTGCCAGTTCCTCCTGCTGCCTTCCTGCCTCTTCTTTGAGGCGATTTAGAGCTGCAGCAGCGGCGTCAAAGACAGAGGAGACAGGGCAGCTGCACGATGGTGCACTGCATCCCCACGCGTCTCTTTTCGCTGCCTGTCGTGGCGAAAACACGGCACTTGGGGGGAAAGGGGGGGAGCTATGTTGACGCGAAAACGCGCACAGATGGAACCGAATGAATGCTTGTGCTTTTTAAAAAGGCTAGAGGGCGAGGGAGGATGCCACCGTCCCTGTGCATGGCGTCTGTGTCTGCCTGGGTTCCTTTGTTCCTCCTTATTCTACAAAAACCCCCGTTGCCACTCAGCACCACTTGGCATGTGCGCAGTAAACTGCTGAGATAGGAGGACGGGCCGGTTCGAGGTGAGGGGTGCGCTTACCGCGTTCTGCTTTCAGCAGCTTCGCTCGCCTCTGGTGCATTTCTTCACCTCCAGCATTTTGTAGCTTTTGTAGCAAAGAGGAAACAACAGACTCTTGTTCCTTAACTGCCGCATGCAGTGTCGATTGTAAAGCCCCAGCGGATGCCACCTGCAACAAAACATGAGCGCCACGGATAAACAGCTAGGACATGAACAGCCACCTCAAAGGGAGATGATACAAAGCTTTTTTCGTCAAAAGTAGGTAGAGACTACCTCCGCTTTGAGTTGCTGTAGCTTCTTCTTTTCTGCTTCAGACAGGCTCTCAGACTCAACCGCCTTTTGCCTTCTCTCAAGCTCCTTCCTCTACACACATATATACATACCCACACATACATTCACACACATATATAAACACATACACACATACATTCACACACATATATAAACACATACACACATACATTCACACACATATATAAACACATACACACATACATTCACACACATATGTATACACATACACACATACACATGCATTCACACACATATATATACACATACACACATACACATGCATTCACACACATATATATACACATATACACACACATTCACACACATATGTATACACATGTACACATACATTCACACACATACATATACACATACACATATACATCCACACACATATATACACACTCATCCACACACATACCATGGAACCTAAAAGCCTAAACAGTGAGCATTCCTCTTTAACCACAGAGGGTCGGGAGGCAGCTCTGACTGTACATCTTAACATGCTAGAGCATGAAGCCTCAATCCTTACATGAAGCTGCGCCGCTGCCATATCTTGCTGCAGGAGCTCTAGAGCTGACTCGGCTTCCACACGCTGTCTCTCCAGATGCCGCTCCGTCTCTACGAGTTGGTCCTAAACATACCCGAAGAAATAATCGACGACCGAGGTTCTAAAATGAATGCGCAGATCGTAATCTCTCGTGGCTTACTGTACACGACGCAGCCACTCCGACCTGATTTCGGAAAAGCTCGGAAATCATACGGTAGATCGGAAGGCACCACTTGGTAACCGTACAAGAAAGCCTCACCCTCTTGGATTTAAGCTCCTGTAGGCTTGACTGCAGCTGTTTCAGGGTATGTTGCAGCTGCTGCACCTGCTGTTGTTCCTCTGCAGCTGTTTCCTCAGAAATACTAAGGGGCACCCTCGCCTTAAATCCGTCAGTTCGAATGCTGCAGTTTCCCCCCCCCAGTCCCCCTCCAACCATCCGTCCATCCAGCTCAATCAAACCCCCATCCAGTGTTACCACTAAAGCAAACAAACGCATGCAGAAAACGCATTCGCAAATCTTAGCCGCAGTTCGCACCCCCCGACACCCTAGCGTCAAGCGAACCTCCCTCCCCCCTCAAATACCTCTAATGCAAGGTGAATACTCACACTCGTGAAGCCTAAAATGCAACCTCGCTGTCTCAGATCCTACCTCGCTGTCTCAGATCCTACCTCGCTGTCTCAGATCCTACCTCGTTGTCTCAGATTCTACCTCGCTGTCTCAGATTCTACCTCGTTGTCTCAGATTCTACCTCGCTGTCTCAGATTCTACCCCGCTGTCTCAGATCCTACCCCGCAGTCTCAGATTCTACCTCGTTGTCTCAGATTCTACCTCGCTGTCTCAGATTCTACCTAGCTGTCTCAGATTCTACCTCGCTGTCTCAGATTCTACCTCGCTGTCTCAGATTCTACCACCCAGTCTCAGATCCTACCTCGTTGTCTCAGATTCTACCTCGCTGTCTCAGATTCTACCTCGCTGTCTCAGATTCTACCCCGCTGTCTCAGATTCTACATCGTTGTCTCAGATTCTACCTCGCTGTCTCAGATCCTACCTCGTTGTCTCAGATTCTACCTAGCTGTCTCAGATTCTACCCCGCTGTCTCAGATCCTACCTCGTTGTCTCAGATTCTACCTCGCTGTCTCAGGATTCTACCTCGCTGTCTCAGGATTCTACCTCGCTGTCTCAGATTCTACCTCGCAGTCTCAGATTCTACCCCCCAGTCTCAGATTCTACCTCGCTGTCTCAGATCCTACCTCGCTGTCTCAGATTCTACCTCGCAGTCTCAGATCCTACCTCGTTGTCTCAGAGAATAGGCTATGTGCGAGGCATGATCCATGTCTTGGGCAACTCGAGTTGATCCAACAGCCTTAAAGAATGCCACACGAAGGCGGGGAGACGAGAATCGCAGCAAGTCGAGCAATCGGGGAGCCGAAGAATCTTTCCACGTAGCAGCTTCTCTATCTGCTTCTTCCAGTCTCTGAGACAGATCCTTCTCCTGCGCAACGCATTGGATGACACCGCGCTACCAGAGAACCTGTGCCTCTAGAGCTGGAAATTAAGCGTGGCTTTCGAAGAGGCACACCCGCCTTACCGCAGGAGAGAGACACGTAGCGAAGGGACAGACACCTGGCTGCTGCGCTGCCACAACCAGCGTAGCAGTACATCGTGTATGCGGCTCGGCTATAGACCAGCTCCAAGAGCGGATAATGAGAAGATGATGAGGGGATCATGAGGAGATGATGAGGGAATGATGAGAGGATGATGAGAAGATGATGAGGGGATCATGAGGAGATGATGAGGAGATGATGAGGGAATGATGAGGAGATGATGAGAGAATGATGAGGGGATGATGAGAGGATGATGAGGGGATGATGAGAGGATGATGAGGGGATCATGAAAGGGCTGGATTTGAACGCTGAGAACGCCAAGATGCGACCTCAAAGGAGGTAGAAAAATTAAAAAATATTCGGGGAACATAAGAGGTGACTGACGAGCACACGAAGAGCGAGCACGTTGCATCGTCCTAGTTCGTGAGCTCTCAACAGAGCGAACAGCTCGGTGGCATCTTCGGGAGCTTCGACAACGAAGAATCCGCTGAAGCCTCCCGAAGCCGCTAGGAAGGCCTTCTCGTACTGTGGTTGCAGAAGCACAGAGGAAACGCATACTCTGTAAGCGTCTTATAGTCAAGCAGCTGTCGGGGTGTATATTCGATGCCTCCTTGGAGGCAACAAGAAACATGTGGACGCATGCGAAAAACGCGGAGTCGCCACAACAAGGGCAATCCTGGGATATCTAGAAGAAGAATCGCTGGGTGAATCTGTCTCGCAGGGAGGCGTGGGCTGCTCCTCTCCCGGCTCATGCTTAGCTTTTAAGTCGAGATGCGCAGGCTCTAGGTAAAGCGTAGTGGCTTTGCGAACCTGCGTGTCAATGCTGCCTAGCTCGCCGAGTCTATCTATTAGCCCTCGAAGTTTTCCTTGTCTTTTCTCTTGTGCCAGAAGAGACTGCAAGCGGCCGCTGCATCGCGTCTCCTGTCTTTGCTGCTCTGCCTGAAGGCGCACAAAGGAGAAGGCGGTTGCAGACAACAAGGAGGGAAGGCTAGAGATGCTCTATCAACCGCATGGGCAGGAGAGGGGGGATCAGTGAGGCTGCGGGGAGATCCCCAACGGGAAGATATTATCAACGATCAACGCTAGACACTGGGAGCTTGCCCGTTTGAGTTGGCCTTTTGTAGCGAGCAGCTTCTGCTCGCGCTCCGATATGTGCATCTCCGTTTCCTTCTTCTGCCGCTGCACCGTCGCCAAGTCTGCTGTGGTGGCTGCTTTTAGCTGCTGCTGCTGCTGCAGCGAAGCTGCATTCGAAGCACTCGCCTCCGCACACTGTTTCAGAGCCGCTTGCGCCTGCTGCTGCCTCTCCCTAATCTGTCGCTCTTTCCTCTCGAGCATCTCGAGGGCAGATGTGGTCTTGGCTGTTGCAGTCAAGTGCTTGTCCACTTGTTGTTGCTGCTGCAACAGCAGCTTCTCTGCCGCGACGTGCGCCTCAGACAGCTGCTGCACCTCTCCTGCAGCGTGCCGTACAGACACCAGCACTTGGTGCTCGAGGCTTGCACAATCAAGCCCCTCGCTATGTATATGCACGTACACTTGCACGCATTTCGCTTCTCTACACACGCAAACTAAACTCCCTGAAAAACGAAGGGCGATCCTGCAGCCAAAAGGCCTCCTTCCGACCTTTAATGCTCTCTTGATACTGCTCAACAGCTTCTTTTGCCGTTTCCACTGCCTCTTCTGCCTTCTTGACTTTGTCCGCCTCGTGCGCCGCATCTCGCTGCTGTATGGACACCTCAAGCTCTTGCAACAGCAGCTGCTGCTGCTGCTGCCGCGTCTCCAGCTGCGCTAACTGCTGCCGTTTCTCCTCCAGGCGAGACACCTCCCCAACCAGCTCTGCCCGCAGCTCCTCATCGCGAACCACGAGCTTTTGCAAGGCTCTTTCAGCCTGAAGACACCCCAGCCGCGCAATATCCGCATTCACAGCCTGCAGCTCGCCATTCAGAGTTCGCCGAGCTTGAGGCTTCTGGCAATGGATGTAATAGGGTACCGTGTGACGTGCGATTTGCGCACGTACCGTCGCACACTCCGCTTCCACTGCTTTGAGCTGCTCGACGTGGGTAGCTGCTTCCCCCTCTATCTGCAGGCTCACAGCACTCAGGCAGGCACACCCTAAAGCCATAAATCTTAGCCTCTCTGAAGTACTCAGCTACGAGATAAAGGCATTTTCCCCCAAATAAGCGCTTCAGATTCGCCAGCCGACCATACACAGAACTCAAGGTGTTATGTGAGACCTTTCGCAAAGAGGCTTTAAGACTTTCGACCTCGGCTTCGCTCTCCTTCTGCTTCTTGCTTATTTCCGCCAGCTTCTTCTCCGTCTCTGCGGCTTCGCGCCGTCTCTTCTGCAGCAGCAGCAGCAGCAGCAGTCACAAGCGCATGGACAGAGACACACAGGAGGATGCATCAGGTGAATGTGAAGCAGAAGCAGCAGCAGCAGCACGATGGAAGACCTTCAATATAGACGCGTGGCGCAGTTTCTGAGGTGCTGCTGTGCGAACTCAGATCGTGGGCTGCAGCGACAGCAAGTGGACGTCAACAAGTAAACACACCCTCCTAAAAATGGCAGCAAGCAAGAGTTTTGCCCCTGCAGCGTGTCTATCGGCCTTGAGAGACTCGAGAGCTTCCTCCTTGGGACCCTCTAGCCGGCGCAACTCCGTACTTGCACATCGCATTCGATTTGCCTTCTCCTGGTACTGTGCAGCAACACCCGCAGTATGCCAGGAGCTGCTGTATTCAGATGATGCGTCTTCTTATGCGTGTATCAGTGGCTTGCTGGGGATTTGGACTGTCCTACCCTGGCTACTCGTGTCGAGCGTTGTACGACTCTCCCCTCGTGAATACTGCAGTGCACACTTCCCCCGTCCCCCTCCCCGCCACAGATCGCTGTCTGCACCTGCTGGCAAAGCTCGTCGAACTGCTCCGATGCCTTCTCAATCGGCTCTACAAAGCGATTTGATCCCACTAGGTCCTCCAAAAACTCCAAGAGTCCAGTCTCCTCAGGGCGCTGCAAAATTCTCCAACGCCACACAACACCCCCCGTGCAGCAGCAGCGACAGCAGCAGCAACAGCAGCAGCACCAAGCGCGTTTCAGGCGGCTTTCGGGAAAGACTGGCCAGGTGCTGGAGCGCAAGAGAAGAGGCGACAGAGCTGCAGAGTCTGAGAGGCTGGAGAGGGGCACCGAGCAATCAAGGGGGATCTAAGCCTAGGAAGTCACTAGGCACCGTTGCCTTAGGCTTCATCATGGCGATCTGCTCCACCTCCCCTTGCAAGATGAGGAACCGATTGTTCTGCAGGTCCAGCCCCTTTGCCTTCAAGAGAGCGACGACTTCTTTTTGAAGACACTTCCTTCCATTGAGCGAAAAACTGGTAGCTCCACCCCCCTGCCTAGTAACCTCCCGGGCTACTACAAACCGAGATCCGGGAACGACCTCATAAGCGTCACTATCGGGATCCTATAGAGATAGATTTTTGCGTACACACGTATACATGAATGTATACACACATATACATACATACATACAGAGATGGGGTGCTTGAACATATATATATATATATGTATGTGTGTGTACATACATATGTGCATACAGCGTACAGTTAGTCATACGTATACATATATATATGTATAGACATACCAATAAAGATACCCATACACATACATATGCACATACACATACACGTACAAAGAGAAAGCAGGAGGGAGAGAAAGAAGGAGACATGACTTGAAGCCAGATGCAATGCCCCTCTGTAACTGCCCTCTGTTGCTAATTCTGGTACAGCGTACCGGGTCAATGATTTCCTGAAAGAAAATAGAGACACTGGCTCTATCGATCAAAGCATGCTCTTCCTGTTGCTTCTCTGATGCGGCTGTATCTCCAGATGCATGCTTCTTCTTTGGCCTTGCGGGATCTCCTTCCTCGTCTCCTGCTCGCGCTGCTGCAGAAGCGGCGGCAGAATTGTGGATAAGCTCAGTAACCTTGCGAAGTCTGATTTGTTGGGCGCGCCGACCGAACACGAAGAGCATCGCGTCGATCACATTGCTTTTTCCAGAACCATTAGGGCCTACAATGGCCGTAAAACGCTGCAACGAAGAGGTGAAAAGTGCATGCAGGAGTAGCACCACGCTCAGCTGCCACCTCCATTTCGACCCCTATGCAGTAGCCTCGGTACGCCCTAATCGCGCGATCTGCGGCCATTAGCTGGAGCTAGCAGCTCCACCAGAAGCGAGAGAGGTCTATAAGGAAGACACCCACCTTGTGAAAGGGCCCAATTACTCTCTTTTTGTTGTAACTCTTGAAATTTTCCAGAACGACCCTTTCAATCATCAGCCTCCGTATGGGGGTTCCAGGAGGAGCTCCGGTAGGAGGTCGTTCAAGAGCCGATAGCGGCTCAAGCGCTGACAGAGCAAGAGAGGAAGACAAGTCTTCTCCCTGTGCTTGAGCTTGTGCTGGCAATCCCGAGGCTACGGGAGAAAGGGGGAGTGCTACAGGCGTTGCCTCTGCCGCAGATGCTGCACCTCGATGCGCAGATGCCAGCAAATCTGCAACGGTCAGGGGCCCCCCAGCGGGGCCCTTGCGGGCCGCTGTCACCTGCACGCCACTCGACAGCATCTGCAGCTGCCCTTCCTTGTTGTTGTTGCTGCCTTAAGTCTAGTATAGCGCATATACTGCTGCTGCTGGGGGCGCTGCAGTTCAAGGGAAAGTTACACGCGCGTAACTGGAGAGCTGAGACACGTGGTAGGGCCCCCCAGGAGTGGGGGCCCTTGCAGCGACGAAGGCAGAAAGCCTGAAGTTCTTGCAAGGGGAGTAAAATGCGTTGAGCTGCACATTTAAAAGTTTAACGTTGGGGTTTTTCGCTGCTTGAGCCTCGAGGTTACGCAGGTTGTTAAGAAGAAAGCCCGGAGCTGGAAGGCAGGATGGTGGTGGGGTCGTTGGTGGCTGAGCTCATTTTGGGGCTGTGCATGTACCCCCAACCATGGAAGCCAATGTACACGGTATTATAAGCGAAAGGTCCATTAGACAGGGTTTTTGCCTCAAGGTTCATGGCTCTGACTTGCGGCCGACTCGTTTTACACCCTCTCCCGGCTAGGCTAGAGGCTTCGTGCTCGCATAGTGTTTTTTGACCTAGTTCTAGTGTATCGTCCACACGCAAGCAGCAGGCTTATTGCCCAGTGATTGCTCTAGGTCTCTAGGCTTGGTCCAAGACAAAGTATCTGACTGTCTTCAAAGAAGCTCTTTGCAGCTTAATGCTGCAGCGCTCAGCTCCAACTCTGGCGAAAAGCTACGCCTGAACACTTTCGGTTTCACTAGTTATAGTCGATAAGATTCAGTCAACAATCCAAATTTTGCCTTGCCTATTTTTTTGTCACATTTTCTGCATTGTATCGCCAGCTTGATACAACATGACGAATGCTGTGTGCGTGGGCGCTACATGTTGTGTACAACTAGCCGGGAATGCTTCGAGGGCCTAAACGGTGTAGCTACGCATCCCCTAGGTGTCCGTCTGCCCTAAATTTAGCTCTAGATTGTGGTGAACGGAAAAAGGGAACTCTCTGAAGAAGCAGACACCATAGTTTATTAAGTGTGCATTGAGTCTGGAATTCATTGTCTCCCTACGGATACCTTTAGTACAGCTTTCTAGTTGCTTGTACCTCGTGCATCGATCCAGCTATTTCCTACTTATTCGTTGGCTGTGGATGTAGTGAGATGGCAGGTTTTCCTACAGCAATTATTCGGTCTCGATCGAGTGAATCGGTAATTCAGCGATCTAAATTGAACATCGCGACCAAAAAACCTCTCGACGTGGGACTCGACAGTGGCATAGTGCCTGTTGGGGTGGCAGAGGCAGGCCTGCAAGCTGTTAATGCAGCAGCACCAGAGCGGGTAGAAAGAGAGCACAGTCGACCAAATGTTTATGGAATAGTGGATGAGGCTTTCCCTTCCCTAAAAGTACGACGGATGTGCGGATACACAAAGACTCGATGAAGTTACAAACCGGTTGAAGATGCACCTCGCTGTGTGCCTTGCAGATGAAGAGAGACAAGCACTCCTTGCAGCAACTTTGTTGGATGGAAGCATGTTAAAGATGGTTCTTTTCAGAGGAAGTCCCCTGCCTGCAGCAATAGCTATAGCTCAAGCCTTCATACAACTTGCGTCACCGATTTGTGGCTATATTAGTTTAAGAGTAACTTCTAAAAGAAACGAGAAGACTGAAAGTGCGGAATCGGTACAAACACAAAGCATCGACGGTGTTCTTCTGCAGTACTACTGGCGACTCTGCGCTTACACACTCCAATTGTTTGTTTTTGGCTTTCTTCTCGTGGTGATTGGGTTTATGTTGCCGCAGCATACTTGTCTACGTGCTGCTCTCCCACATCCCCTGTCTACACTAATGAGCCGCTTTCCGATCGGGGCCTGGATATGGTAGTCCATGCTCAGTAGCCTTAATACTCAGTAACAGCTGCATAATCCACGTGAATACACAGGCAAAGCTAAACAGAGGTAGGCGTAGATAAATGATAAGCGGCGGTCAGTTTATTTTTTCGAGCCTGGAGGCTTGTCCCTGATGAATTCGCCAGCTTCACGAGGTGTACTAAAGGATTATCATACGGACAAACTTGCGGGCAGGTGGCTAAGAATATTTGGCATCCTTTCTTGAGTCAATGATCTTTGTTGGACTATTTGATTTCCATGGAAGTTACAGATGCCACAAGACTGTCAGTATTAGCTCCCTATAAAAGTTTTGCATTCCCAAAAATAGTTTGCACACTTTGCTGCGCAACCAAATGACAGGTGTGGAGTCGGAAGACCACAGGTAGCCCTAGAAGTGCCGTATTGTACGACTATTCAGCACCAAAGGAGTAATAGATGGGAAATCCTAATGAAACGGTGTGGGGACCACCTCATTGGTTGACGGAGGTGCAGGTGTAGGCTTCGTTGCCTGCAGGCGGCCTTGCTTCGCTGACGCGCTACTTGCCATGGATAGCATTTCTCACATTCCTTGGCAACTGTCCCTCCCCAAAACATGTTTCCCATGGATATAGCTGCATGTATCGATGTGTCTTGCTATATTTCGTGCAGTAGAAAAGGTCAACTGTACCTCAGCCCACAACATAATCGTTACGCTCCGCTCAGGGTCTGCGTAGGGAGGCACTTAACTTTTGATTCTATACAGATTTGATTAAAAGTTATTGACTACTTCTCACAATGACTCCTTACTTGTCCAGCCTGTACTCTCTATTTAGGGTGTTCGTAGAGATGCTTTACTCCAACGATCATACACACTTTGTAGAAATCCACTGAGTCTTTAACAGCAAAGCTCCCTCCTTCCCGTGCGCGTATTCCTCAGGGTTCCAACGTGAGGCAAGAGTGACATCTATGGTGCACCGCTGCATGCTACTGCATTTCAACCATGTACAGCTAGTTGTACGTTGCATCTAGCTCACGAGCTCACAACATTGCGCCCTAATGTACTGAGTCTACGATTTCTCTGCAAAATTCATATAAAAATAGACAAACCAAATAGGCAATCGTTGACTAATTCCTAGTTCAATAATTCTAGTGTAGCAGAAGGCGTTTAAGCGTGGCTTAGCCCGCTACAAACAAGTTTGTGCGCATTCGCTCTGGTCGCTATTTGCATCCGGGTGTGAAGGGTTGAAGTAGAGGGTGTGGCAAAGCCCACCTTCTGAATCCCTCTTCTTTATCACGGCGGATCACTGTAGTGTGGGAGTGAGGAGACGGCGAAGGAGGCTTGTTGGGAGGGCACCTAAGAGCCTCCTATTAAGTGTTGTATTCGTTTTGGGGCCTCAAATATTTTCTTATTATGGACTCAGGAGCATTGCAAAGAAAACCTGTGGGATACGGGCTCCTTGTGGGAATGAAAGAAGAAGTGCCACAGGAATGTGGTGCGGTGGAGGCGAGAAGGGCAAACTCCATAAATCCCAGTGATCCTTAGCTCTCTATACTCTGATTGGGGCTATATGTGTGCTTTTGGATACATGAGGCTTGCTGAACAGGGGTTAGAGAGCAGTGCGTCATGACGGTTCAGAATTTACGCTATAGGGGATGGATTGTTGTAGCCTCTGACTGTGGTCCCCCCCCCTCCACCTGCCTTTCAGCTTCCCAAGATCGTTATTTCACAGTTTTTCTCATGCTTCTCGGTAGGCTAGTATTACTTTCAAGCAGAAGTGGAACATTCGCGTTGCTATGTGAATGCAGGTGCTCAGGGGAACTAGAGCCGCGTTTGTAATTAACTGGAGCAATTGCGTTGAAAGCACTCAATACATGAATTTTTGAAGGCTGCATCTGAGTTTTGGAGATGAAGCTCTACGATGATAAGTGTGGCTCTTACGTCGTGTTCAGGGTGTATACGCAGCTCCCATGGTAGACGGCGGCAACTTTCTGTCATGAGCATCCAAGATTCAAGCCCGTTAAATCCGCACGAGGTTTCCACTTGAAGTTCAGATTGTGTATTGGCTGGATGCGGCAGTGCAAGATGCACTATGCTGTTGTTTTCCTATTCATTATTCCTGTTGCCGCCATTAAACGAAGACATACCAAAGAGGTACGAGGGTGAGGTTTTCAATTGCTTCATCCATGTTTGCATACTCGTAATTTGTGCATATGAATATGTTTCCTTCCTTAAATTAGCACAACGGCTTACTTAAGGAAGGAAACCGCGCACTGACACCTGCACCATGTGTTCTCCGTTGCATGCAAAACCCAGAAACCAACGAGGTAAGAACAACAGCAACAGGCGAGCCACTACTTGGCAACGCAAATTTCATGGAATGGGTCAGGGAAACAGTGATCCGACTGAAGACCTAGCAGAAGAAGAAGCAGAGTAATGTTCTAGACAACTGAAGCCTTTGCAACCGGAAAGCTAATGAGTGACTGCAGGTCAAGACAAGAGTACCAATGGGCAGCGCATAACCGCATGGTGTCAGTTTTGCATCCCAAATGAAAAAGTTCACGCCTCAAGCGCTATATGATAATATTCAATCCTAAATCTCTACATTCTTTGTTTAAACGCTAATGCTCAGGAATGACGGGCCAGTGCCCAACATCCCTGTGGAAGAAGGAGAGAGACTCGACCCCATTAGTTTGCAGGTGAAGTGAAAACCTCCGCACTCTGTATAGGGACCTTACACCCCGTATACCTAAATATTGCAATCCAGGAAGCAGAAGACAAGAAACGCTTCGAGAAGGAAGAAGAGCAGGCCAGAACGCAGCTAACAAATGAAGAGGAAGAGGTGGAGGCGCAGCTTAACCAAAATTCCCCAAATGTATCAGCCGTCGCCCAAAATATCCCCAACCCTAAATCCTAGCTTGTCAATTTGCACTCCAGCGCAACAGCTAACCTGTGCTGCCTGCTGATTTATGAATAAGTGCGTACGTGAGCCCCTCCAATCGATTCCTTCCTACCTTCCCACGAGACCACTTACACGTACTATTCCCTCGTTAATCAAATGCGAGATAAACGCAAACGGCCTTAAGACAAAGAGGAAACTCAGCCATCAGCTGGCCCGTTGACGTTGATATATGTGAAGGCTTAAATGTGCATGCGTATACAGACATAGGGTACACATACATATCTAGTAGGTATATATGCATATACTAGTAATAGGAGCCAGAACCTCTTCCCCTGTTCCCTCTCCATGAACCGCCACCTGTGTTTCTATCTTCAAACCCTCTGCTTCCTAAGCCCTGCTTAAAAGATGGGTCCCCTCCATCCCATCCTCTTCTGTTCTCCCTTTTTCCGCCCTCTCTGCCGCCTCCATAGAAATCACTTCCCCTATCTCTGTCACTTCCGTAAAAGCCACCTCCCCGATCTCTGTCCCCTCCGTAAAAGCCACCTCCCCGATCTCTGTCGCCTCCGTAAAAGCCACCTCCCCTGTCTCTGTTGCCTCCGTAAAAGCCGCCTCCCCGATCTCTGTCGCCTCCGTAAAAGCCGCCTCCCCTGTCTCTGTCACCTCCGTAAAAGCCCCTCTCCCTTCCTCTGTCGGCCGCAAATGAAGTCTCCGTATCGCGATTGTTGTAATACGGCCTTTCCCTTTCCTCAAATGGCCGTCTGTCGGTGTCTCCTGGAGGTGCAGCTTGCGAGGCTCCCGGTGAGGCAGACGGCACTCCCCACTGATTCTGCCTCTGCCGAACTTCGCCGCCAATCTTCGGTGTGTGGGTAGCTCGTGCTGCGCGTTCTACGTACTCCCTTGCAAGCCTATCTCTCCTAGGCTGTATCGCCGTGTCTACGTAGTACTGCTGTTGCTGCTGTTGTTGCTGCTGCTGTTGCTGCTGCTGCGCCTCTAACAATTCTCGGTCTCTCCGCCTTGCTGCAGCCTCAGCCATCAGCCGTTGCTTCTCCTGTGTGTACTCGGCGAGGTGCTGCCGCCGCTGCACCACACAAACGCAAACAACAGCCGCTTTCGCAGGTGCCACCCAAGTAGCAGCAGAGAGAGCGAGCCAATACAGGGTCTAGCTTAACGTGTTGAAATAGAACGGGGAACAGGAAGACAGAAATATCCCACGCACACACACACGCGTCATAGAAACAACAACCAGTCGAAAGAAAGACGTCCTTACACATATGCACCTGCCTTTGCACCCAACTCCCATGCAACCCCCGATACTGTCCCTTAGTCTTCTACCCCTGACTCTCCCTGTCTCGTTTCAAACTTAAAAATATAGGCCGCACATGCCAGTATCCACTCTCCTTCCACCAGGCCACTAGAAGCCTAAGCGTCGTCTCCTTATGATTCCACAGCCGGAACCCCGAGCCATCAACATAAATGCCGTCGCAGAAGTAAAGTTCTTTTGCTCCATCGTTCTGCGTCGGCGGTACCACCACTAAATGAAACCGCAAGGGATTCTCCCGCTTAGAAGAGCCTCCCAAGGGGGGCCCACCACCTCCGCCAGGTACCCCGTCATCCGCTGCGTTTCCAGTATGAGAAGAAGGTGGAAGAATGCACCACGAGATGCTGTCTGGCCGACTCATAGATTCCCGCTTCAACTCTTTGAGTGCCGTCGGTAAATCGCACCCACGAAACTTCTGAGGAACATGCAGAAAAAGCGGTACTTAGTTCCTTTTCCCGCGCAGGATAAATGGATCAGCATCAGCAGAAGGCAAAGGATAGCAGCTGCAGGAGAAACCGGAGATCGCCATGTACACCCCAGGCGGAGCAGCGGCAACGGCAAGCGCTGCATCTGGAAAAGTACGACTGCGACCTGAGCTACAAGGGGGCAGCGCGGGACTGACTGGATGACGAGCGAGCTCCTCGAGATTCATTCTTAGAGGCTCGCAGAACATAGCGATAATCTGGTCGAAGGAGTCGTACGAGCTTCCTAAGAGAATCAGCTCTTTCCCAACTTGTCCAGATGCTGGAGCCGAATCTGCTGCTCCTGTTGCAGCCGAATTCTCCTCCACATGCAGACAAAGCGCTCGGAATGGGGTGCTGCAACTTTTAAGCATCAAGACGAAGCCATCCCGGTGGGAGCCTGGACGAAACAAGGCCTCCCCCAGTGGCACCTGCATGCATGCATCCATGCACGCACACACTTCCGAACCTAGGTCTTATGCTCAAGACTCTCCGCAAAAAGCGTCTTTTGCAGAGAGAAACCAGCGCCGCAGACGATGGCCAGCAAAGAAGGCACTACCCGTGCACCTTCCACACGACCGCATCCGCATCCAACGGATCAACAGATCATCAGACATAGCACCTGAGCCTCAACTGTTTGCTGCCTGCGCATCAAGAGCGAAGTCGACAAGGGTGCACACGCATGCCTCAGCACACACAGCCTTGGCAACAACAGCGCCACAGTGCTCCTTACGGCAGGATCTTGCAGCAACTGGAGGGCTCTGCGGTGCGAACATGATTTATAGTTGGGATGACGAATGGGACGATATCTCCGGAGATGCTGCGTCTGCTGCCCGGCCAGTAGTTCCTCCCGCTCACTGCAGCAAACCGAAACACGAAATATCCATCTGTACGCCGCTGAAGGTGGACAGAGACATCCAGACGAACGCGTGTACACGGCCACTTACAGGGAGGCTGCAGGTGCTACATGCAGACAGGGACGATCGAGATGCCCTCTCTCAGCCTCTACGAGAGCCTCAGCGGGCTGCTTACAATTTGAGAGCACGCCTGGTCCCGAGAAGATCACATGCTGCCGCTGGCGACAAGAAGTTGGATAGCCGTCCAACAGCCTTGCTTTCTGCACAAAAGAGGGAAAGCGCGTGCTTCACTGCGTCCGCGGTGCATACGCAGAGCACCCTAAAAGAAGGAAATCCCCTGTCCAATTCGGGGTCGTAAAAGAGCCGCAGCACTCGGCCAGGAAGAATCTCCCCTGAAGGCACACACACACACACACACACACACACACACACACAAACGATATGGGAGGCACCGAAAGCAGAGGGGTATCCGGAATCTCCAAGCGGAGGAAGGCCATAGCCTGCGTTGAAGAACGCGGGTTGAGCCTTTGACTGCAGCATTTTCCGCGCCTGTTGAGACACTGCACGACTCTCCGCCATCGGGGAGACTGCGAATTCTTCGCTCCTGAGGCAGGCGTCCTCCCCGGAGAAAAGCAGAAAAAAGTGTGCGTCATTCAATCGGCTCACCGATCAGAGGCGACAAATCTTCCTCCTGCGGACATGCAGCCTTGCTGCGAGCAGCCAGCAAACTCCGGAGTTCTCGCAGATCGGCGAAGGAAACCTTGATATCGGAGGGCTTCAGGTGTGCATACACTCGAATACCTGCCGCATGCGCCACGTGGCAGGAGACAGCTGTCCCTTCCCGCAGCTCTTCTGGCTGCTCTCCGCTGGCCAAGTAAAACACCTCAATGTCGCTAAGTGGGCAGAACGGCAAGCGGCGATCGCGGAACGGATGCCGCAATTCAGAGACCATTGACTCTAAATAGGGCCTGCAGAGAAAAAGGCACGTAGTACACGGCAACAGATTCACAGACACGCATGACGAACACGCTGTAGGCGCAAATATCTCTATCAAGGAGAACGCATCATAAAAAGGCATTCCTGCAGAAGACTTCGAGGCTGCTGTTGCGGCAGTGGGCGTTGCACTTGATAGGTGCAAACAAGAAGCGTTGGTGGTCGTTTGCTGCTGAGAGACATGCACCACGTGTGGCGCCTCGTGCGCTTTATCGCCACAGGCTTTCTCGTCCTTGTTTCTCCCGCCCATGCCCTTCTTTGTGCTTTGTGTGTGTGCATGCTACCCCCTCCCCCCAAGACTATCTCCGTTTCCATGTTGCTGACAGCATGCGGCATCCTTCAGGCTCGTCCTTAAGCAGTCCGACAAACGCCTCCAGATCTAAGCCCTCCAACATGGAAGGGTCTCTGAGTGCACGATTCAAGACACAAACACGCGACATTTTAGCTTATCGCACATGATGCCTTGCCTTTAGCTACACTCAAACACGACACCTCAAAAAAAATCCTTTCAAGCAACGTCTGCAAGGAGGCATAAAGAGGGTTCAGCAGGACTCATACGGCTCCTGCCGACTGACTTAAGAACCTCCGCAATGGCTTCTTCCTCTGTCTCCTCTGGAGGATCCTTCGCTGTCGCCTCTTTTTTATCCCCTTGATGCGCCTCCAGTGCATCTCTGCATAGCCGTGAAAGCCAGGAGCTCCCCTCAGTCGGGTGGATGCGGGTCGCATCTAGAGCTGTACAAAATCCAGATTTCACAAAGCCGCACATACAGATATACACATATACATCTACATACATATATAGATAGACATATACATGCACGTGCGCATGCATATACATACGTGCGTGCCCAACTCGCAAACGTTCTCTCTTTCTCTCTACCCCAAAGTCGGAAGCGTGAAATGCAAATCAGCGGCACCCTTCAGCCTTCACGAACAAAGCCCGTCTCCGCCAGGGGGCCGTGTATTGCTTCTCAAGACGTGCATCAATCCCACGAGCGCATTAAAATCCTCAGGCAGAAGCGTGTCTCGTGTCTCTCTTCCCCGCTAGCGCTTCCCGGAAAGCCTCACAGAGCCACCGACGAGCACCACGCAAATATGAACGAGAATCTTCACTGCCAACCACGCGCAAAAGCCTCACCATCGAGTGCATCAGCCTCCCCCGCCGGCCCCTCCGTCTTCAAACTCAAGAAAGCTGCACAGTTCGTGTATACACGAGGTCCTAGGCCCTTCTTGCTGTCGCGATCTCCCACTCCAGAGCCTTGAGGAAACTCTGCATCGGAGTCTTCGCTTTCTTCCGCCAAGCACAACTGAGAGCGCATCTGCACAGTTGCATGCATCACGCCGAACAGCTCCCGCCATAGAGAAACCGGCGCTGGCGGCAGCACCAAACGGTCCCAGGTGCGAAAGTGCCGAGGGGAGAGGCGCAGGTAGGGATTACCACACTTCTAGCCGCCTCGCCAGCTTACAATGAGCGCTGAAGACTTGAGCATATTGAGCAGTCGCTGAGCCTTGCGAGGGCCCAGTCCAGGAACAAACTGCAGAAGCGCTGCAGCGCCACCGTTGCTGCTGTTGCTGCTGCTGCTGCTCAGGCGCATGCAGCGACGGAGGTCGACGCCGCAATCGCCAACGAGCCGCAGCATGACAACTTCGCAAGCAGCAGCAAGGCGATCCCGCGGCAGCTGCACCAGTTTCGCGCCGCACACGCAAAGAAAATTGGATGGGCAACGGCGTCAACCCCCCCCTTCTTCAAAGACAAGGGCACACACAAACCTCCTTTAGCGGGGTAGCAGCAAGCAATAGTGCCAAGCAATAGCAGCAAGCAATAGTGCCAAGCAATAGCAGGAAGCAATTGCAGCAAACAATAGCAGGAAGCAATTGCAGCAAGCAGTTGCAGGAAGCAACTGCAGCAAGCAGTTGCAGGAAGCAACTGCAGCAAGCAGTTGCAGGAAGCAACTGCAGCAAGCAGTTGCAGGAAGCAACTGCAGCAAGCAGTTGCAGGAAGC